CCCCCGTTATATCGCCGAGTGTTATGTATTGTCTCTGTAGTATTTGGTTTAACTGCACAAGAACAGGTTAGGTTCATTGTCTATAGAAGGCGTGTCAAGAGGTTACAGGAGGTCAAGTGCCTATCTAAATTCTGTCGTGATGTAGAGGGTGTAGTTTTTTACCACATGCAAAAGTTGCCTTTACCATTTTCCCCAATGCAAGAAATGTTTTACCTAAGTCAACTCTGGTTCTGCGTTTTCAGTATATTCATAATTTAAGAAAACAATGCTTATTTGTATGTGTATCGTAAACGTGAGGGAAACGAAGAACCCTGTCGTTTCTTCAGTGGTCTTCAGTTTCATTACAAGTCACATTCCTTAGAAATACAGGAGATTCATGTATTTAATCATGCCTTGGGGGGCAAAACCGAAAACACGCGATTAGTAGAAATCTGTGCACTATTGTGTCTGATGAACATTCAAGGCAGTTTGTGTTAGTACAACCCTCGTAAGTGGACAAAGTTTCACGTGATGAGATTGTCCCTTTGGCACCCTGATGCTTGAAGTAGGGCGACCGCGTTTATTCGCCTTACCAACACAAGGCAGTGATGAAAAGTGCCAAAAGGACTGAACCTACTGTTCAGGAGAAATAAATTCAGTGTGACACTTTTCTGGAATTCAATAAATTAATGGCCACAGTATTTTGTGAAAATACCCGAAAATATTGAAGACAAGTAGTAAGTATCGTTCGAAATAAATACACACAGGCACTTCATATTCAGAAATGTGCCTAGTTGCAATGTTGAAACATCACCTTTTATTGTCGGTATAGTTACATACAACTTCAAATTAAGGAAACTAGACTCTGTTGTACTCATTGCGGCAAAGCCATTCCCTTCTGATGAGTTCCCATAAAAAAGTAAAAAATGAAAGATCTTCAGAATGTAACAAGTTCCTCATCCCTGAGGAGTGCAAGCCTTTTTATGAAGAGATACTTTCCTGGCCAACACAAAAGCGCTAATATGTCCACCACCAGTGGCGTAACGTTTGGGCCCGCAAGAACCGCAATGCGGGCGGGCACAGGTTAAAGGTGTGCCTAGTTTTAGAGTAATGATTTTGCGATTGTAAGAAATATTAATTACTTGATACTTTATCTGATTCTTTGCGATAGTTGATCTAATAAAAGATTAAAAACAGCTTTCCGGGATAAGTCAAATACATTGCAGACAATCATTGTGCTCATCTGGTTTCGTCTATTTCGTATATCAGATAATTTCCTGGCAGTGTTTTTTGTTCCCAAATTCTGAAGAATTAACTTTAAAAATATATATCAGTGTTAATGAGTGTTTGCATTACTTCTCAAATGTTTCAAACAATGTAGGTGATTGTGGTACACGATATCTCTTAAAGCTTTCTTTTTTTTCCAGGGCTGGACAGAAGAAAGTCGAATACTGCATCTTTTACAACTTCGTATTCCTTCTGTACCAAATACTCCAAGTCTTCAACATGAGTGTGTTCCTAATGATCAGTTCCATTGTCTAGTTCTCAAACCATTATACATTCAAGATCCTGCTTGTGATGTTAGTACTGCAGGTAAGAAAACTCAGTACAATTTTCACGTCAGACGATTAATGTATAGGGGAGTCCGGGACTGATGAATCCCTGACCCATTCACTACTTTCCCATTCAACTCGCAGAGCGCACCTAACGTGTAGTGACTCACGTCACAACGGAGCGAGTCGGTGCGTCGTGTACGTGGGTCACCACACATTTCTTCGCAATTCCCGAAGTTGCTCAACTGATTCGATCCTCTGGCATCTGTGTGATACCTTTAGTGGAATCTACAATATATATTGTAAGCGACTGCTATCTTTAGTAAATCTGCAAGCGACTTGCATTTCAGCGTAAATGACACCCTACTATCTCTCTCTCTCTCTCTCTTTCTTTCTTTCTCTCTTTCTTTCTTTCTCTTTTTCTCTTTCTTTCTCTTTTTCTCTCTCTTTCTCTTTTTCTCTCTCTTTTTTCTCTTTTTCTCTCTCTTTTTTCTCCGTTTCTCTCTCTTTTTTCTCCGTTTCTCTCTCTTTTTTCTCCGTTTCT